AAGTCTGTTCTGTAGTGAAAAGAACTTTAGAACAATAAAAATGTGATCATTTATGGCACTTTTTAAAAAATATTTATTTATTTATGCATACAGAACTGGGTACAGAGCAGAAGTGCAGGGGCAGTGAGAGGATTCACCAGAGAAAGAGTGGGGAGCAGACCAGGCAGATTTGACCAAGTACACTGCTGAGGGGAGCAGCAGGCAAGACAGGAGAGGTCTAGACGCCATGTGGATCGCCTCCTGGGCGGGTATCAAACTTGCACTGAGATGGCTGTGGCCAGCTTGCAGTGCAGCATCTGAACCTGTTGTGCCACCAGGGAGGGCCATTTATAACACATTTTAAAAACTAACAGAACACCTTTTTTATAAACTGCATGTTGGAAGCCGGAAAATGTTTAAGGGCAACAGTGACCGATTCTTGAGAATTAAATAATAACAAGTAACTCACATCGCTAAATTTTGAATTACTAAATTTTTTAATAGTCAGTTTTAATAGTATTAAGTTCATGATTTCCGCAGATCTTATGCTTGGAAAACAACAATAATTTATGTATCTTTAAATCTGCTATTGGTTCTGATTTAAAGGTAATTATCGATAAAATTACATTAATTTTAAAGCAGGAGAGGTCTGCTGCTCTATGTAGGTCAGCTCCCTGGCTAGGGATCAAAGTGGACCATAGTGGCTGTAGTGCTGAGACTTAAGCCCTAGGCCACCAGGAAGGCCTTTCATTTTTATTTTCAACCACCCAAGTGTAACTGCTTTAATCTACTATGTCAAAGCAGGTTGATTTATCAAAATATAAGGGAATAGAAAATTAAAACACTATGACTAAATTTTAGACTTTTTTTGCTCTAAATAGACTATTGAGTATAAAAACTTTCACACAGTATTGCTTCAATTATTTAAAAAATTAGAAAATGTGAAAGAATAAGTAGGTTGCTTTACAGTCCGTTCTTCCTATAGGCATTAATTTCAGTTTTGAAGCCTTAAGGGAGTATCTTTGCCCTTTAGTCCCTCAAATTTTGCAAAATCTGCTATGGTGTTTCTTGTTTATTGAGTAAAACTTAATTTCTTCTTTCTAGAAAAAAATGGGTCATTCATATTACTTTTGTGCTTTTTATATATTTTTCTTCTTCCCTGGCATATTTTAGGTATTGCTAGTTTTTCCTTTGCTCTCACAATTAGCAGTCTTGCTCTAATACCTGGATTTCATTAATTTTTTCCAGCTAATTATAAAAAATTTCCTTACATTGTATTTTGGGAAAGTAATACATTTTATTGCTTAGGTAGGTTAGAATTTAAGAATAAAACTGATAAAACAAATCATATTTCTCTTAATATTAAATACCCCAGTTTTAGGCAGCTGAGGTTTTGAGAGAATGGGGCATGTTTTTGTATGCTTTTTGATAAGTATTTCTTTTAAGATTTATTTATGCATGCAAAACTGGGGTACAAGCCAGAGGTGCAGGGGTGGTGAGAGGATTCACCAGAGACAGAGTGGGAAGCAGAACAGGCTGATCCATGAAGTACACTGCTGAGGGGAGCAGCGGGTAGGTCAGGAGAAGTCTGCTATGCTGTGTGGATCACCTCTGGAGCCTGGGAATCAACTCATGTTGAAGTGGCTTTAGCTTCTTAGTGCTGTGCTTTAAGCTGCTGTGCCACCAGGGAGGGCTCTTAAGCATTTTTAATGCTTTAGAATCTCTCATGCTACGCATAGTTAATGGTAGTAAAATCTTGAGCAAGTCATTTAATTTCTCCTCTTTTGAGTGATGGTTTCAATAATTTCTAAGGCACAGGTATTGTGCACTTATTACAGGTGTCCAGTAAATATTCTTTCTGCTTTCTACTCTGTGTCTTACTCTTTCTTTTCTTCATTGTTGCTTAATGTTTTATGAATAGACAGCTATTTCTATCTATATTTTATTTTCATTATCCTGGTAAATTCTTGAAAAAAACATATAACATTAATCATGTAGACTTAAGGTGTCTTGTGTAATCTATGTTATGATAGTTTGTGGAGGGAACTTGAGAAAAGATTGTGGTGGTAGATTGACAAAAATATTTATTTCAAAGTCTTACTTTAAAATCAAAGCCTTGTTTTAAGGTATCTATTCAGAAATCTTTATTTTATGATCTAAATAAAATATTCTGGATTTTAAACATTTTTCATAATTATATTTGTATCTTGTGAAAAAATGAAATTAGAGGTACTGAATTGGTAGTTAATACTGGCCCCAAATTAGTTAAATGGAAAATATTATTTTGATAATTGGGAAATATCAATAGATATCCATGTGTTTTAAGTTTTATTTAAAAAACTTTAGAAATTATTTATTAAATACATATGGGCTAGGCACTGTGAATAAACTATTAATTGATAAAGTTGAACAACTACCCTATGAAGTGGTAATAGTAGCATTTTCAATTAGCTATTAGAGAAATTGAAGTCTAGAGGTTAAGCAACTTACCCCAATGGTTTTATTACGGGCTGTGATCTCAACTTAAAGTTAGAATTCTGAATTGTTAAATTTTAAGTATTTTAACACTACTGTAACTTTAGCGGCCACATCAAATAGTTTCAACTTTGTTGAATTTAAAGATGATTAAGACATTTATGAAAAATAGAAGTATATAAATACATTCACATTAGATCTTTTGGAAGATCTTTAGAATATCAGATTATATTGTTGTTTGCATTATGAAAGCATACTGAGTCCAGATAAAGTAAAACAAGATTTTTGGCATAACTGCTTTTAAAAAAATGATGTGATTCAACTGTAACTTCTTCTTTTTTTTTGCCTGGTAAAATAGTTCTTTGGTTAATTACATGAAAACAAATTATTTTGGGTAGAGTTATAAGATTCAGCGATTTTATAATTTTCTCCTCAACTTGCTTTTTATTTTGATAAAGGAGGGAGGGTAGTACAGAAGTATGTCCAATTGCATATCCTAATTGAATTTGGTCATTTGTTAAACTTTGAATTCAGTTTTGGATAAGTTTGAAATGTATTGGTCTGTAATGTATTGATAAGTTAGGGAATATGTATTTTCTAAAATGTGGTACTTCAAAGAATAGTATTTTTTGAGAGAAAGATTAATTTCGTGTAATATGACTAGAGTGGAATAAGGTAGGGGGCTAGGTATACCAGCTATGTTCTTAAATTATATATTTTATCATTTTCTATCATGTACTCAAAATGAATACTTTTGAGTTAGGTTGGGAAACAAGATTAATCTTTATGAACTGTGAGACATCTTGATTAGTTAGAATTTTGCTATTCCTATTTAGTAGGAAATCCTTCTTAATTAGTGAGTATGGCTCTTTGCCAGAATAATTTTTACTCAAGCTGTAGTTTATTTTTCTCTGGTACTTTTTCTTTTTTGCCTGAGTATCCCCCAGGAAATTGTTTCTACTAGTATTTGAATATGTATAGCCTTTTTAAAAACTCTTATCTTAACTACTAGGCTTAGTCCTATAAATACAACCAATTTGGTATAGTTGGACAGGGTGAATGAAGAAAATATGTGACTGGGAGTGAGAATTGTTACTGCTAGCTCTATCTCCTATGATAAAGATTTGCTTCTGTGATTGCTAAATGAAACTTTGACTTGGGTAATTAAGATTACTATAGCTATTACTAACAACAGCTAACATTTTTAGAGTACTTATGTGCCCTTCCTTTGCAATATATTTTTATGGTTTATTTATTTCTCTTTTAATCCTCATAATGACCCTATGAGGTAAGTACTATTTTTCCCACATACATAAGAAGAAACTGAGACTAAGAGATGTCCTAGAAAGTATTCAAGAGCCTCTGACTTGTAAGTGGTAAAGACTGAGGCCCATTCAGTCTTACTCCCAGAGTTAAGTTCTTAACATTTATGATAAGCTGCTTCCCATGTGACATGTTAGATATGGTTCACTGAGCAGTCTGGGAAAAAGTAAATCATTTCCAAGGAAAGGAGATTATATAACCATGGATTTTTCCATTGAAATAAAATTCCTTTTTTTTTTTTGTTTTAGAGGTAGGAAGGAGAAGTGAATATATAGATATCTTTAGTTATAAATATTGTTAAGATGGATAGCTGTCTGAAATAATTAGGATTTAAAAGCTAATGTGTACTTAAAAATGGAACATAATTTGGCTCACTTTAGGACTCTAATGTGAGTATATTTATGAAATTTATGTTTTACATCAAGGAATGCTAATCTGTAGCTTTCTAGTTGGACAAATTCTTGGCTTTGTGGACCTTAGCTATTTTTAAAACATTTCGTGAAGCAGATTAATTGGAACATTAATTTGAGGTAATATTTTTAAACAAAGACAGTTTACTTTGAGGAAAAGATGTATATTTTAATTAATTTTAATTTTAGTGTTAAAATTTCGTAGTAGCCTGTTTCTATCTAGTTAAAAATTATGAAGTTCTAAATTTCTTAAACTGAATTTTGTTTATCTAATTATGTTTGGGATTTAAAAAATTTCTTACTGCATTCCTATTTCCATTTGGAAACTGGGAAGTGCATTAATTTTTATGCTTCCGCTTGGAAGGAAGTTTAGGTGATAGGTAAAAAATAGTTTCATTTGAGTTGCAGTGTGAAAGTCATCCAATAACTACTTATTTTTATTCTTGGCTACCGTTTCTTTTTAAGGTATGTAAAATTTCACTGATGGCTTTGCTCCTGTTTTTATAGTTGCATGTAGTCTTTGTTATTCTTTCTAGTATACTCTGATGTAGAAAGACCACCAAGAAACTGACATATTGTCCACTTACACAATAGTATTTAAATATATTTGAATAGTATAAGCTATAATATAACCTATTGTATACTCAAACTCGCTACTTAGAATACCTTTAAAATTGTAGCACCATATAGTTCTAATCTTGTTTTGTTATTCATAGTTTGCAGTGCATAAGTTCTCTACTGAAAAGTATATCATAGCTTGACAATCATTGTTTACACGTAATTTTCTCTCTTTTTATTACAATGCTTCCCCAGCAAGGACAAGTTTGGAAGGTTTGCAAAGCTTTTCACCTTCCCTCTGCCCGCTTGCCCGCTTTCAGATCAGTTTCATGTTTCATAACTTCTTTCTCTGCAATCCACAACATAGCCATAGTAAACAATGAAAAAAACATTGAAATGCAGTTCTGTATTTCCTGACACATTGTAGAGACAACCTCAAAGAACACATCCTTTTAAAAGTCTCATAAAACTAAGTTAAATAGGAATCTCAGAAGTTTAGTAATTTCTTAAGAAATAGCATCTCATTTAACAATCTGTTAATGAAATAAACAGTATTCATTGTATTCTGTATTGCCAGTAGTTCAGATAAAAGTCCTTTCTAATAATTTCTTATATTTGTATGCTTTACAGTTTACTATAGAGAATGCTATATACTGCTGAAGTGGTGAAATGTAAACATTTCCATTTGTTCTGTGATTATGAGATATAGAACAGATGTAGATTCATTGTTTGAAGTGCTGCTGGTATGATGGAAAACACTGTTGTAAAACTCAGATGCTCAGAGGAACAGGCAACACATTAGTAGTATCCTAAAAACAGCTTCCAGTTCTTTTGAACTAGGGCTCTTGTATTAAAATGTTTAAAGTAAAACGACATTTTGGAAAAGACAAACATAAGATTTATTTTTTAACACTTAGAAAGAAACATTTCTAGTACTCTACTGAATATTTGATTTTGTTATATTTTATTAGCTTCAGGTGAATACAGTCCTACCTCAAACCAAAAATTTTTTTTCTTTTTCTTTTTCTTTTTTTTTTTTTAGGTTTGAGCTTTTTCCTTCACTGCTGTTCTGCGCTAACTGCTTTGAAACTTTCCATGCATTTTTTTTTTCAGTAGAAGAACATCTCTGTACTGTCTCCCATTGCATATTTCAGCTGTGACAATCCCTGCACTTTGCCTATTCATTTTACCACCTGCTCACCAAAACCAATAAATTTCTCTAATTTCTGATTGCAGATTTGCTACTCTTTGGTTTTAGAAGAAGAATGCATTTCACTTTTTTTATTACTGTTGTTTTTATAGGCATGCGGAGATCCCAAGGCAAAACCATCCTACCTTATTGACAAAAATCTGGAATCTGCTGTAAAATTCATAGTCAGAAAGTTCCCTGCTGTAGAAACCCGCAACAATAATGTAAGTCATCTAATTTTGTTTTTTACTTGATTTTAGGGAAAGCAATGGCTAGTAAAAAAGTTAAAATATCTTTTATTTCTAATTTTTCACATTTTGATATGCAGCTTATAATGACTACGGGCTTTTAGAGGTAACATTATGTCCAAAATTGGGAAAAAATGGCTTAGATTATTGCCGTTTTATTATAGAAAATACAAGATCTTAATTTTTAATACACTTTTTTCAAGTTGCAGTAGAGAATAACGTACTGCTAAAATGTATATATGGTAGGTGTATTTACCAAATATTGCTTGACTAGTTGGGGAGTTTTTTATGTTTAGTTTTAAAATATATTTGCTTTTCTTGTGTTTTCCTAATTTAGAAAATTATTTCTGAAAATTAAATAATTGATACTGTGAGACTGTTACTATTTCACATTTTCTCAGGTGGGATAATGTGTTGAACTATATAAGTCATCCAGGGTCATTTTGATATATTTTGATGTATCTTTTGGTCATTCTTTATAGCTTCTGTGAATAATTAATTTTAAAAGTTAGAGTTACTTTTCATCCTATTATGGCCTTTGCATATGCATTGTATGACTTGGGAACTTTCTGCATATATATATATATATTTTTTTTTTTACTTTTACTTTTTTCTTTGATAGTCTCATAATCCTTACTGTCTTATTTTGCTTTATGTATAAACTTAATCTCAAAGTTTCCTCTTAGACATGATTACCCTATTTTAAGAATTTGTTTAAGAATATTTGTGATCTTTTGGTTTCTAAATCTTGTATGTTCATTGAATATTTGTATTTAACCTGGTCAGTCTTTTACTTAGAAATCTTTTAATGTAGAGGAAGATACAAATCAGAATTAATAAATATATATCTGGTAGTGTATTTTTTTTAAAGTATATATATATTTTTGTGAATATAGGTTGATGTGGTCTTTCTTTGTTTCATATAAAATTGTGTTTTATAATTGGTGTGTTAAGATGCCACAATTAGTACCTGATTACAGATGGGTGACTCAAAGCACACTTCTTAAGAATACTACTACTTGTATGGAGAATTTTTTTTTAGTGGTATTAACTAGTTAACTCCTCAGAGATTATATATGCATTCTGAATGGGAGGCTTTATAATGAAAATTTGTTTCATATTTAATTTCATATACAGTTATCTTTCTATGGGCTCATGCAATCTGTGATACAAGCTCTTCAGAGAATCTTTTAAGTTTAATTTATGTGTCTGTGTATAAATTTCCTTATGAGATTATGCAGAGTTCTTAAATATGCAGTATCTTCTTAGAAAATAGCAAGATCTGATTAAAATATATTTATTGTTTCATAACTGTAAAATTAGTAGTCACTCCTGACAGTCTGCTAGCCCTAGGCAAACAATCTACTTTATATTTGTTTGCCTCTCCTGGAGATTTCATATTAATTGAATTAATATAATGTGGCATTTTGTGATTGACTTCTTTCCAAATTCAGTTGTTTTCAAGGTTTATTCAAGTTCATCAGTATTTCTTTTCATTGCCAAACAATACTCTGTTGCATGGATATGCCATGTTATGTTTAGTCATTCATCACTTGTTTGTTTTAGCATTTTTGTCTATTATAAAGAATGCTTTGAGAATTTTGGAAAGTTTTTATGTGAACTATGTTTTCATTTCCCTTGAATGTATATACCCAGGAGTGCAATTGATGGATCATATGGTAACTCTGTTTAACCTTTAAAATCACATATACAGTATTTGATGTTGTGACTTCTTGTAGAATTTACTTAGTTTGTTTTGTTTGCAAAATCTGATGCCTTTGCAACTATTCTGTGTAATGCTATCCTGTTACTTTAACTCGTTATGAAGTACTTTAGTGTTTCCAAAATTTTGTGATTACATTTTTATTTGGCCCAGCTAAAATCCTTTAAGAAGTTTCTAGTCATCTTGGGTTAGGAATAAGAGATGAGTTCATTTTAATTTTTTTTTAAATTCCATAGAATTTAAATCTCCATATTAATGGAGATTTAAGGGTTGGGACTGATAATAGCACCTGAAATTGATAGAGTTTGTATATTTCTGACTGGCAGCATCTGTAAACAAAGAATTGATGTTAGTTTTTTTTTTTTAACCTTGTAAGTCCTTATCTGTGGGTGATTGTATAAATTGATGCCACAGAACAAGCTTATTTTACTCAGAGATAAGGGTGACTTTCTTGTTAGTTCTAGCCAGAATTACTGGTTAGCACTATTTTTGTTTTGATTCATGTTTTGCAAGTATCTCTTAACCCCACTTTCAGAAAAGACAGAAAAAAAAAGTTTCTGTGAAAAAGTCAACAAAGTTTTTTTTTAATTTTCTAAAGTAGATCCTCACTAAAAAGGCTAATCTTATTTTGTAACCTGAAATGTGTTGATTCTTGCTTGTTTCTTTAGTAATTGCTCCAACTCCTTAGTTTAAAATACTGTTAGAAGCTGTGAGCCACATACACAATAAAAGTGGAAGCTGCCAAAAAGCAGGATTGTTGCCTAACATGACTTCAACTGTGATGTTATTGTATTCTGTTGAGTCATTTCTGTCTTGCACTGGCTCCTTTACAGTCAGTTGTGAACTTGTGTACCCCTTCAATTTAGTTTGGGCCAAGGAATGGGATTTTTTACCTTGGGTCATGATGTTCAGTTAAATTCCCCATGTGCTTCAAAGATGATTAATGAAGTAAAAGTCAAATGAATAAAAACCATAGTAATTTTACAATTATAGCAGCCACTTACTTACACGTAGTGTTTAATATGTGCCAGGCTGTTTATTTTAACAGATTTAATGCATTTATTATTTAATTTCAGATTAAGAGAAATATTTCTGAGCTGAGATTGTCTTAATTTATCTACAACATGGTATCTTTTGTCATTTTGAAAGAGTAACTGTCAGGTGGATTTATAATTTGTTTCCCATAGATTTCATACGAGAATATAAAAGAAAATCTGTTATTTCCCTGGGTGAAGAAAATAGTAGATAATCTTTATTAGTAGGTAAAAATTGTCTTGCCCAAGAAATTTTAGAAGGCATTTTTAAACAAATACTCAGGTGCATGTTAAAAATTTTATTACTAATTTTTTTAAATTTAGCGAGTTTAATTATCCCCTCTTTCCTATGTTGTAAATAGGAACATCTAAAAACTAGTTATATGTTATTTTAAAAGCAGTAAAAATTTCTGGCACAAATATCATTGTGGAATTTGTCTAATTATTGTGTATGCTAGTATAAAATTTGGGTTTGACTGCCAAATTAGTTGGGAAATGATATGTTATGATCAGATATGTTGAATTTGATCTTAAACTCCTTAAGAATGAAGACATTGTTAACAAGTAGAGTGCCACAGAATTAATAAAGGATTCTGGACTGAGACATGGCTATCATTATACTAATTTGAAAATTCAGTTTTTAAACTAATATTTTATTTTATAGATATCATGTATTTTTTCTCTTGAGACAGTACTACCAAGATACTTTGTAATAAATTGTATTTTTTATTCAAGTAACTTTAGAAGGTCACTCAAGGAAAGATAAAGTAAAACAACTCTGAAAGTATAATAATTGTCATGGCAGTACACATTAGCATTTTGAACATTTATGTGCCTAGTGCCGGACATGAGAGACATTAAACAAGTTTGATGAATAAATTAATTGATAATACTCTTAACTTAGTAAGCTCTCATTCAGATATCTTAGATCTTTGTCAAGACTCAAATTTATCAACATTTTTAAACCTATTACTAGATAAAAAATGACATTAGTAGAGACAACTACATACATCTCATTAATATTATGGAAAGTAACTTGGAAAAAAATTGAGTCCTAGTTTCTTAAAAACTGAACTAACCTCTTATTTCCTAACCCAAGATGACTAGAAACTTCTTGAAGGATTTTAGCTGGGCCAAATAAAAATGTAATCACAAAACTTTGGAAACATGAGTATTAGGGTATTAGAGTAGCAAGTATAGATTTAGGGAGGCCTTTGACCACATACAGTATAGTTAAGGTAGGAGTTAGATGAAAGCATAAGGATACTGACTCCTAGTCAGTTTCTAAGAGAAGATTCCTTATATTCCATTATGATGGTAATGGTATTCCATTATGATGGTAGTATATTGGTAGTAAGAATAGATTTTGGAGTCAGTGAGCCAGAGTTTGAGTTCAGGCTTTTGCACTTTTTAGCTGAATGATTTTGGGCAAATCACTTAACATCTTTGTTCATATCTCTGAAATGTTAATGATAGCATTTGCAACAAGGAGTCTAGATGTCGCCTATAGTACTTAGTCGTAGGTCTGATAAATTTTTTTGGAAAAAATGGAAACTTTTTATATTACCTCTGTATAACTTTTCGGTTTACATCATTGGGTTTTCTTCTAGCTGTCCTTTAAATGTGGCTATTTCTGAATTATCTTCTTCTCCTCCCATGTAGTATATACATATAAAAACACTTAATTCCCTAACTTTAAGTAATAAACCGCCTTCTATTTTCTTTATTCTATATCTGAATTCCAGTTGCCCTTTGGATAACTCCACAAGTTATATAGTAAATTTTATATACATTTGTTCAGCAAATGGTTATGGTCATTGTTTTTCTTCTGTCTTCTCTGCTTTGAGTCATCATCATCTATTTACCTATCCTAGCATTTGAAACCCCTTTGACTCAATATAATGTCAAATTGGTGATTTTAGGGCTTGCAGTTTTCAAACTGTCTTTTGGAGTTATCTCCTTCAGGTCTTTGTTCCCTCATGGGGCAGGTGCTGTGAAAAATCAAGCATTTATTTCACACTTCTCAATTTCTCCTCTTACTGTAACCCCTCTGCCTTTTCTTTCCTCACAACTTTCATTAGAACATACAAGAGTCCTTGCTTTTTGTAAAAAAGCAAGTGAAAAGTATTTGAAACAGGTCAGTATTTGAAATAGGGAACGGGATCAGCACTAATGACCTATCTAAACTTTTTAAATTTAATTTTTACCAAAATAGCATA